GAGTCCCACGTACAGCAACTAGAAGGATGTGAACCTATGACGTACAACTATCTACTGGGGCTTTGGGGGGAAAAACTGAATAAATAAAATCTTTAAAAAAAAAAAAAAAAAGATTATATTGCTTGACTAGCCCTGAGTGGAAAACATAAATATCACCACACTGGATTCCTTTTTTTCTTAATTAAAAAATTTTTTATTAAGGTAAAAGATGTACATAGTTTAAAAAAAAAACAAATATTACTAAAAGGCTCCTGATAAAAACAGCAGTCTCCTGATCCCACAGCCTTATTCCACAGATACAACTACTTTGAAGCACTTTAAGCAGTTTGTGATATTGTTTCTATAATTCTAAATGTCATGTTAATAAATGTCTATTATGCCACACTTACACTGATAATTCCTAACTTATCAATTTTAGACACTGTTGACCTGCTCTGTTAAAATTAATAAGTTTTAGCTTTCTTATACCACCCAAACACTCCCATTTCCTCTTCCTCCAACCTCTCAATCAAAAATTAAATCAATACTCAGTATTGATTATTGTAATCAACACATTATTGTAAGCTTGTAAATACTGCTCACAACTAAACTATGTACTGTACTATGACTTCCTTTCTTGTATAATCTTTTTTCTCTAATGTTAACTGCCTGTTTTTGTTTGTAACTTTCCATGTGCCTACACAATAACCAAACACCAAAACTCCTCTCGATTCATTCAAACATTCATTTTCTAAAAATTGTTGACAGTTCTGATCTGCTGTGGTCTCCCCTCCCGTTCTTTGTCCTTGTAGGTTTACGCCTTTTAAAATTCCATTACTACTATTTTAGCAAGTTTTCAGGAAGAAGCAGCTTAAATAAGTGTGTTCAATCTGCCAGGTTTAGCAAGAATTTTAATATAGCCTACCATGAATTTTGACCCAATTAATTTTTTTAAAGAAAAGGCTCATTATCATTATTATTTTAATATTTCATCAATTCTAAGACGCACATTTTTTCACATTTCTTCATCTCTGAAATTGGGATGCATCTTACAATCAATGATGTGTCAGTTTAATTAGTAGCTTTTTTCTCTTTCTTAGCAGTACATAAAATAATAGTGCATCTTATAATTGATGGCATTTTAGAATTGATGAAATACATTAGATATTCTCACCATCAAAAGATGATACAAAAAATAACTAAAATTAAGTATGGGAAAAAAATTTTTTTCTCTCTTTTTTTTTCTTAAATAATAATACCTTTTAATACCGAAAGTTGACATTGATTTGCCTTTTTGTTGTTGTTATTTTTTTTTAATTTTTCGTTTATTGCAGTAATATTGGTTTATAACATTGTATTAACATTATTTTCTAAAAGACACAATTGTTTACCTAGTCAATCAAAAAATCATTTGAGGGGCCGGCCCTGTGGCTTAGCAGTTAAGTGCGCGCGCTCCGCTACTGGCGGCCTGGTTCAGATCTCAGGCGCACACCGATGCACCGCTTGTCCGGCCATGAGGAGGCGGCGTTCTCAGTACAGCAACTAGAAGGATGTGCAACTATGACACAACTATCTACTGGGGCTTTGGGGAGAAAAAGGGAAAAAAAGGAGGAGGATTGGCAATAGATGTTAGCTCAGGGCTGGTCTTCCTCAGCAAAAAGAGGAGGATTGGCATGGATGTTATCTCAGGGCTGATCTTCCTCACCAAAAAAAAAAAAAAAAAAAAAGTCATTTGAGTCCTTGTGCACTGTTGGGAATATAAAATGTTGCAGCTGCTATGAAAAACAGTATGGTGGTTCCTCAAAAAATTAAAAATAGAATTACCATATGATCCAGCAATTCCAATTCTGGGTACATTAAAAGCAGGATTTTGAAGAGATATTTACACACCCATGTTCATAACAGTACTAGTCATAATAGCCAAGATGTGAAAGCAACCCAAATGTCCACCCACAGATGAATAAACAAAATGTGATATACACATACAATGCAGTATTATTATTCAGCCTTAAAAAGGAAGGAAATCCTGTCATATGCTACAACATGGATGAGCCTTGAGGACATTATGCTAAGTGAAATAAGCCAGTCACAAAAAGACAAATACCATATGATTCCACTTACATGAGGTATCTAAAGTAGTCAAGTTCATAGAAACAGAAAGTAGAATGGTGCTTGCCAGGGGCTGGGGTGAGGGGGAGATGAGTTGTTTAACGGGTTTAGAGTTTCAGTTCAGCAAGATGAAAAAGTTCTGGAGATCTGTTGCACAACAATGTGAATATACTTAACACTACTGAACTATACACTTAAAAATGGTTAAGAGGGTAAAAAACATTTATCGAGTTATAAATTTTAAAAATGTACAGTTTATTGTATATCAATTAAACCTCAATAAAGCTGTAAAAAAAATCATATGAGGAAACAGGAGAGTTTGGAAAAGTTGCTGGGTATGAGATACTGCTACAAAGGTAACAGTTTTTCTATATACCTAAGTATTTTACTTTTGCCTTAGTTTTATAATTCAAAAATAATTTCACATGCTCTACCTTGTTTAAATTTTGATACTCATTAAAAAAAAGTGTGAGGTACTACTATTACCCTTTAACGGATCAGAAAACGGATCTCAGCAAAGCTATGCTAAGATTTACCCAATGTAGAGTTTGTACTTGAACCAGATACTCTGATTCCTAGCTAATAATTTTTCCACTTCAACAACACAAAGAAAAAAATATTCCATTCATAATTGTAATAAAAATATAAAATACTTGGGAATTTATTTAAGGGGGCACATGTGAAACATAAAACTACAGAACTTTATTTGGTGAAACAAAAGAGGAGTTGAATAAAATAGAAATATTATGCATTTATTTGGGAATACTACAGTTAATAAAAACGGTGATTCTTGGGGCCGGCCCCGTGGCATAGCAGTTAAGTGCGCGCGCTCTGCTGCTGGCAGCCCGGGTTCGGATCCTGGGCACACACCTATGCACCACTTGCCAGGCCATGCTGTGGTGGCGTACCATATAAAGTGGAGGAAGATGGGCACAGATGTTAGCCCAGGGCCAGTCTTCCTCAGCAAAAAGAGGAGGATTGGCATAGGATGTTAGCTCAGGGCTGATCTTCCTCACAGACACACACACACACAAAAAAAATGGTGATTCTTTTTTCAGTTAAATTATAAATTTAATAAGAATCCAATTAGAATAGTAATAGGATACTTTATAAAGTGTTATGAAATGGGTTAAAAATTATTTGGAAAATAATTTTTAAAACAAAATATTTAAAAGGAAGTAAAAAGTAAAGATAGTATTCACTATTGATATGGCTCTGCTATAAATTCTTTATAGAGTCATAATAATATGAACACTGAATACTAATCTAACAAATATAATTTGACTATAAGAACAGAATAAGAGAGACAAGCAAGTATGGGTAGGCAGTGGGAATGTGGAGGAGAAAATGGAGCTAAAGTCTCATCTTCTAGGTGGGAAATTAAGAGATACCGATTGAATCTGAAAAATCAAGCAAGAGCAATATAACCAAGTTATAATAGAGACATGGAAGTAAATAGAAAACCAAACAAAACAAACAACAACAAAAAACAAAGGTAAAACAGGTGAAAGTGGTTGCCTATGGGGGGAGATGAAGATAAGTGGGGGCAACTAATATTTTTCATAATAACCTGTGTAGCAATATTCGATGCTTTAAATTTTACATATGGTTTCTTTTTCTTTCTTTTTTTTTTTTTTTGCTGAGGAAGATTTGCCCGGAGCTAACTCTGTTGCCAATCTTCTTCTATTTTGTATGTGGGCTGCCGCCACACCATGGCTGCTGAGGAGGCTGCTGAGGTCCATGCCTGGGAACCAAACCCAGGCCGCTGAAGCAGAGCACACCAAACTTAACCACTAGGCCACAGGGCCAGCCCCTATGTATGTATGATTTTGATGAAAAGATTCTGAAAAGGTACATAGCCATAATGCTTATTTTCTGTTGTTTTAAAAAATAATAATAAATATATTTTAAACTCCAAGATATCTTCATTTGTTAAACTTACTTATCTTTTGTGAAATAGGATAGAACATTTTACAAATTTAACTAAGATCTAAGAAGCAAAGCAGCTTACCCAAGGAGTTATGCTGGATTGGCAAATAACCTACTACATACAAACAGAAAAAAAATCCAAGAAGATAAATTCACCCACCTGATGAAAGAAGTAAGTAACAGCAAGGTCATTGTCATTTAAGAGGATTTCTTCTTCCGTAGTAAAAAGCCATTTTCGAATGGTCAGGCAGGTGCCTGGTACAGCCGATGTGTAATTCTGGACGTAGAGTTTATGAGGAAATTCATTAGGTGCCAGCTTACGTACTGAAGAAAAGACAAAACAAAGAAAGCTAGAGTAAAAAGATATATAAGGAATTTCCCAAGTATAAACCATGTAAGGTAGATCAAGAATGGCAGGTTATCATTAACCAGAACATCAGCTTAGATCCATCAAGGAGCTCTGCTTCAGGACCACAAAATAACCATTTGCTAACCAAATCAAACCCTTCTAACTATGACTATGGCCAGTGGAGCTCAAACTGACTGAAATCTATCAACTGAATGACACACCCTTCAGTTAACATGCTAACTCTGCAGATAGCACCTGCAACAAAATCAGTTAAAATAACTGATCCATTATCTGGTAAATTACAGCAATGTCCACTGAACATCTTTAAAGCAAGCGCCTCCTCTTACCCAGCTATGGTGCAGAGTCTCTCACGTGGCAATTCTCAATGAACTGCTTTTATCACTAAGAGCTGAAAGGCTCTCCGTACACCCTCACAACTCTAAGACATTTATCAAAGTGAAAAGTATCTTCTGAGTAACGTTACTTCCTCTTCCTAACAATGCACAAGCAGGATAAAACATGACCACTTTAAATTTCTACACTGCTTTTCTTTGGAAAGGCTCAGAGTTTTCTTCTCTTGATGTTTACTTGGCTTTATAATACTGCAAAAGACAGATTTACTATTTCCCATTTTATTTATTAACTGAAGCTTAGAAAAGAAGGGTAAGATTAGAACCCAAGTGTCCTGGTTCCTTAGCAATCCTTTGTAACATTTATATCTGCCTCATTAGACTATAGGGAGTTGGGAAGATAAAGAATAACAGGGAGATGACTGCTTCAGGGTGAATCAAAGTTGTTTTACCTTGACCAGGGATGGCAAGGTGACCCAAATCTACCAAACTCTCCCCCTTTCTGGGATGAGGAAGATCTGATCAATCAATATTATCTGTAATTTCTGGCCTTAGCCCTGTATATATACAATGTGGAAAAGACCCAACCTGTAGGAAATCTGTGTCATTCAGAGCAAGCCCTCAGACTTCCTCCCCTTTGTGGTCTCAACGCAACCAATGTGACCACCATCCCTAACTTTTATAAAATAATATATAAGAGAAACTTCCTGTCACCATAAATAAAATTTCCTAGGAAGAGGATATGTATTTACACAGAAACTTAAATATATGCATTAAAGCAAAGGCTTTTAAGCAATATATCTCTTTCTAACTCCTGAAAACAAAAAGCTATTCTTAAAAACCTACAAAAAGCATGAAGTACACTAAAACAAATTGTGGCTAAATAGAACATCCCCTCTTTTTAAGGCTGTTTCATTGGAATATATTAATTTTGAACCTCTGATTTATTTATTTATTTATTTATTTATTTATTTTAAAGATTTTATTTTATTTATTTTCCCCCCCAAAGCCCCAGTAGATAGTTGTATGTCATAGCTGCACATCCTT